ATATACTTAAAAAGACTAACTTCCAACCGTTACAATCCATGTGTCCACATTTATGAATTTCAAAGCAATCTGGTTGGCGGTTTTGGAGAAGAAGTCAAATTTTTACTAAAATTAGTCTCTTACATATGGTCTTATGAATTTTAGTCAGAGTCTATTCCATATCGTGAATAAAAAAAAAAATCATTTTTGAACACCACAGGTAGCTGTGCTATAACTAGCAAGGTGATCTTGCTTACGGTTTGGGAGAAGAAGTCGCTTGAAAAAAAAGTTGACGTACGACGGTCAGACGGCGACAGGTCTAGTCAACCTATGAGCTCTGCTCGGTCATCTTCGATATCAGCGGAGCAAATACAACAAATATTACCCCATGAAAATCGTGAAATTTTGTGTATTGTTTTTATAAGATATCAAGTTTTTTTTAATGAATTTATAAAATGTTGTAAGTGGCTTGTTCTCGCTACTCAAATCCTATATTATCATTTCGAAATAAATACAAAACATAGTTGAACTCTGGTGACCTTGCCCTTCGTTGTATAATATTATTCCCTTTATCATAGTTTGTTTCAATATGAATATGCATTCTCATAATTAATTTTGAATACAAACAAGTTATATATTTCAGAACAATTTTCTTTTCAAAATGTGGATGAAATGTTTTGCTTTTTATGTATTTTTTATGTATTGTTTTTGATATGATAACTTTGAACTAAACAGATTTTCTATTAGCTTCAGATATTGATCAAAGTTAGGCACCCAGTTTATAGGAGTGCTTATATTGATTTTCTGACATCTTGTTTTCTGTGAAGAGTTTATTGTGTATCACCAGTGATCAGTCAAGTAGAAACAGTCAAAATATTGTATCAGATTTTCTCAATTTTTGCATGATATTTTTATACAGGACATCTGTTGTTCAAACTCAGGGAAGACTTTATACTGATGAATAAGGTGACCAAGTTTGAAGAAGTTTGGAATAGAATTAGTAAAGTTATTAATAACAATTATTAACGACGACAACAACAACAACGACAACGCCGGACAAAATTTGTCTCTTAATATACCTTTCCCTTCCATCTTTGATGGTACGGGCAAGGTAAAAAAAACATATCCTCAATCCACCTATTAGACTATGTTAACTGATCGGACCCCTAATCTTTACAAAGTGGTATTAATGTAACCTGTAGACATTTCACCTTTCAGTTTCTATACACATGAGTAAAATTGGAACCTTTTCAATTTCCGCGTTGTTTGAGTCCAATTCACTTAAAAAAATGCAGGACGTTGACCTTTTTTTTACATACACATACGTGTTGATTGTATGAATCAGTTACATTGCATCTACGAAGCATATAAGCTACCGTGTGTCACTCGGTTTGTTGAAAACACACCCGGAACTAAAAAAGTATGTCGAAAAACGTATAAATATCAAGGAAATCCATCATTGTAAAGTCACTAATATCTCAGTATTCTGACGGTTATCAAACAAATATTGACCTTTAAACTAAACAATGTCAGTAATACCGGAACTCGAGTTGCAATAAGTAATATTGAAAACCCACGTCGTGATCAAGTGCCAACGTGGCCAACAAGGCGAGCTCGTCTACCTTGACTCACACCAAGACCAATGAAGTAATTCAGTAAATGGGTTTATACTTGGAACAATAAAGTGGTTTGTAGTTCTATGTTGTTTTCTACTTATTTAAATACTTACTGAGTGTCAGGGGGGTTTAGGTATACGATGGATCGTCGCCGCATTCGCGTCGTGTAACTTTGACACCCATTCATCGCATGCACTTGCGCTTTCTGCTTTCTGCAAAACAACAATTGGATCATTTAAATTTTATTTTTATATGACAGCAATATGAAAGGGTTCATGATTTGATGGATACGCGCATGCGTATGAAAATGTAATATGACATTCAAATATACGTACCAAACGCAGTGTGTCTTTCGCTGTCGTAATCTGTACAAAGTGGTGGGTCTGGGTTGACGTTCGTTTCACCGTCTGTACTCCATCTAAATTGATGCTTCCCTTCGGACTCTAATATAAGCAACACACATACTGTTATTGTAATCAATTTACAGTTTTGTTATCATTTAAATGCTGTGGATAATATTTTAATTATAAATCCGAAAGCTGTGTCGATCATTGGCTCAAAAATCAAAAATCAAATAAATTATTAAAGCGGCCATTTAGAAAGTGGACAAAAACAAAAGTTTATCAATCAATGATGCGTGGAGGCGCTACATAGTTGCATTTGAGCGTTTTACGGATGTTTCCTATTTCCAGAACAACATGGAGCAGGGGCGGATACAGGATTTTGTTATGGGAGGGGATTCAAACTTTAAAATCGCCAGACTAAGTTAATGATTTATTTTATATTATACAAAAACAAATTGAATATTTTTTTCATCGGGGGGGGGGGGGGTCCGGACCACAATAACCCCTCTAGATCCGCCACTGTGGAGGGACATTTAACTATTCTTACCTGCGGCTCTCTCGCTGGATTCGATTTATAATAATTCAGCTCCCGTCCATTCAGCTGGAACCATAATTTCTTGGTCGACTGAAACAGAAAAAAATGTGACAGGAAAGGTAATATAATCGTTTCTGTCATTTTCTGGAGTTGCCAATTTATAGTTTATATAGTTATGACATCCGCTTTAATGCGCATATAAAAACATGGCAACGTTGTATTTTTGAAATTAGCTAAACGCTTAAACGTGCGGTACTGTCACAATGTTTAGAATGCACCCATGTTGGTGTTAGTGATTATCTATAAAAATATTAACTCGCGTATTGATCTCGGCCTGCACTACATAGACCACGCATAGCACCGGTGACCCATGGTTCACGAAACCATTTCAATTATTGACCAGAATGACCATTGTTTAAAACAAGACCAATAGATTGACTAATGTTCAACCGATTACAGTCCGCGTCACGGCTTTGATTATGAACTTTACTGAAATGAAATGAAACCGATGAAATGGGGAGACTAAATTGGAAATAAACTTACATGTGCATGTGCTTGCCATCTGATAAGTTATTTCTTTGTAGAAAAAACAAGTCGAAATAACATGTATTAATTTTGAGATTGGTTATTTAACGCTGTCCCAGTGAACGTTATTTATTTATTTATTTATTTATTTATTTATTTATTTATTTATTTATTTATTTATTTATTTATTTATTTATTTATTTATTTATTTATTTATTTATTTATTTATTTATTTATTTATTTATTTATTTATTTATTGATTTATTGATTTAGCTGTCTGTCTGTCTGTCTGTCTGTCTGTCTGTCTGTCTGTCTGCCTGCCTGCCTGCCTGCCTGTCTGTCTGCCTGTCTGCCTGCCTGTCTGTCTGTCTGCCTGTATACACACATATGATTTTTTTTGTTTTTATATACTTTTTATTAGGCGCTTCATTGATACATTACATTGTTATGAAATTACATTGAGTTGTTCTATTATACATAATATATAGTAGTACCTCTTTTTTTATCTTACATATGGTAACAAAGGAGACCACTTTTTTAGATGTGAAACCATCTTATTGTACTGTTTTGCAATATAATTTTCACATTGGTAAATTCTTTTACAGTAAGATAGGAAGCCAACGAAATTTGGCTTAATTTCCTTCATTTTACAAAAGTATACATGTTTTCTTACCAACAGAGATATAAAGTTTACAATCAAAGTACCATCTGGGTTAGATATAATCATACATAATCTACTTGATGGTGACTTTAATTTAAGTGGTTCCCCCACCAAAAGAGGATTTCACTCCAGAGAGATATAACATATTGACATTCATAAAACAAATGTTCATAGCTTTCGGCTTCCCCGTCACAGAATGTACACTGTGGGCTGCCATA